TAATCATGTTTTGGGTGTACTATTCCTTTAAGTAGGGGAACAAAGTATTTGTACTTTCATTTCAATCATTAAATTGTCAATCAGGGCTGTTTTACCGTTTATAAAGTTAAGTCCAGATGCTTGATAGATTGATAGATCATACAGCAGATCAGGTTGACGGAAACTAACCCATTAGTCGTTTTTACATGTTTATTGGACGCTTTGCATCCGAAAACAAAACAGAAGCAAGGCTGCAAAGTCAAATCCATAATATTCATCTTTTTAATACACAGCATGTCTCGCTAACACAGGCTTTACGCCCGTCGACACAGAATGCGGAGCGCTTCATTGGCTCATTCGATAATAAAGCAGGCAGCCAGACGAGTCCGCAGAATAGAGAGTAACTCATCTCTAACTGTCTGCCGTCTCCTGAGTGCTAAAACATGTAAATTTATGGAGGAGCCCATCGGAAACACATATTTACAATACGTTTAGGTAATCACAAGATGCGCGAGGAGCCATCCCAGGGGCCCCGGGGACGAACGCGGTCGGCACAAAAAAATAGTTTTTATGTGTCATTAATTCCCTCTGCATTCCCCGATACATCCCCCCTTTCGCCACAGTAATACAGTAATCACTCACAATCGCCCAGAAAATTATCTGCACTCATCTGTGGAGTAAAAAAAAAAACAGAAAAAAGAGCGGGAGGGGGCAGGAGAGGGCGAGCCGTCCCATTCTAGCTCTCCGCTGCCTCTTTAATGTTCATCTGGAGCCGCATGGCTGCCGCCCGGCTGGCTTGGTGCGGAGCAGCTTAACGACAATGGAATGTGGATTCACAAATATACAGTATTAGATGTACATTCTCACACATAGACACCTTTTCTTTACGCTACATTGCCCGGCCGGGACAACATCCAGGGTCATCGGCGGCTTGATGGCAGAGGAGGCCCCTGTTCGCTCACATTAAGGAGGCGCCTCACCTCTGCTTGATGCAGAAATGGAATCAGCGCCGCTGCAGTAATGGAAGCTGCACAGATTCAGATGTGAGGAGCCAAATGGTCAAATGAGTTACTGCCTGCCTGTTCATTATCTTCTGCTTTCCGTGGAGGAAACCTGCAGCATTATCAGGCAAAGCCATCAGACCCGATGAACGACCGTCAGAACAGAAACCAACAGTTTTCACATCAGCAGCAGCAGCAGAGAGGGAAGGAGTTTGAGGGGAGCAGGACCTCCAGCCTTGATGCTACGTAGTGCCCTCTAGTGGCCACCAGATAAGTAACACTTATTTACTCTTTGGCTACTGGGGACATCTACAGGTGAAAAATGGTACTACTACTCCAGAGACATAAAAATTAAAAACAAAATCCACCAAGGCAGCAGAATTATGGAGTCAATTTCGCTTCATTATTTTTGCTAAATATTTTTGTAAATGTAAA